CACTGTGTGGAAGGAGCTGGAGCAGCACTTGGAAACACAGCGAGCTGACCAGTGAGCCGAAAAAAAGTCATTTCAGGAAATGTGATGAGAGAGGTGATAAAGAGGTTGTCACTGTGCGGCTAACAGGGATTATTCAGAGTCATGAAAGTGAATGGAAAAAGTGACTGGAAACACAATCGGTCTCATCTGCTTCGTCACTGCCTTTCAGGCTGGTGCAGTTTCACATCAAGTGTGTGAGTTATCACACCTTAAACCAGAGGGGGGGCAATGAAATCTGATACTGGAGTATGAGGCACTGCTGAACGCTGCGTTATCTGGACAGTATTTGATTAATATAAGAAAGCAGTCTGGCCAGGCTGTCCACAGACCTCAGACTGAGAGAGACTGTTGGTTTTGTCAGTGTCAGCAGGCCTTCGCCTACTACTGCCTCCCATTTCCTGGTGCTGCAGCTGACAAAAGCTCCAACGTGACTTGGATGTGGCCCGATCTCTTAAACTGCAATATGTCACCCACTGGATAGGAGCTGGCCTGTGCACATTGATGTAAACCACCAGGGGTTAATTCTGATGTCTCATGAGCATTGTCTCCCTTTACTTCTGCATGGTTTCCTCTCAATAATTTTCCTCTGCCCTCTCCCACACTGGCTTTGTCTGAGCACATGAGAGAGACAGCTTTTAAACACCAAATTAGATTCTTTGCACAGGCCTTGATTCCCTTTGCAAGAGAATCATCTACTTGATTGCCATTAATCGATGCTCAGAAAGGTTTAAGCAGTGAAACTCTGGCTGTGTTTCATAGTGCAGATCTATGAGAGAGCAAGAACAGGATTTCATTAAGCGCCACAATACACACAGGGGCCATAAAAAGCTTCAGCTTGTTGCTATGGAGCTGAGACTTGGATATTTGACTCTTACTATGGATACAGAGCACGACCTGGCTCATATCAAAAGCACAGCAGCAGGATGGCTTGTCTTACAGGGATATTTTGTGCTTTATATTGCAGATGGTGGGTCTTATGATGATTACTTTTGCATTACCTTGTAATGATTTTGCGTTATCTTGAAATGCATTTGCTATACCTCACAATAAACGTAGGCTATATGATATGATATAGCGTGACCTGGCAATGCTTTTCTACTTCTATTCCTTCTGAGATAATATTTGGTAGCATAAGTAGGGACATTATTTTTCTGAACTCGTCCAAGCCCAAGAGAAAGCTGACCGAGTCCGACCTGAACCCAACAGGCATTGTGTTTTTTGTATTCAAACCTGACCTGAGCCAGATGCAGTGTCTGTGTTACCCCATCACTGACACACATGGTTGTTGCCTGTTTTCCCTCATAACAGACATGAGCATTAAAAAAAACAACCAACCTGAGCCCACTGGGACCCGGGCTGGACTCTGACAAAAATTGCAAAATGATATTTGGGTTCAGGTTGGGATCTGTCACACTGGCTGGGCTGTCGAGTACCTTTTACCCTGCACATGTAAATCGGTGAAAGTCCCTGACAAACATGTGTCAAGTGTAAGTGATGGGAAATAAATGGGAAAACAACAGTTATATTTAAAGTTAATTGGTTGACTGTGATATTACACACACACACACACACACACACACACACACACACACACACACACAAGGCTATTCACTTTGTGAGCACCAGAGTCAGTCCCAAATGCAGGAGAGAAACTGACAGCAAAGCAGTTAGTGGTGACTGCCTAATGCTGCTCTGGTTGAAACACGTCTGCCTCCACTGTCTTGAGTTCAGTGCAGCAGAAACTGTCTTTCAAAGATGCTCTGTGAGGCTGCTTCCCTCAGATAATACGCCAAGGTCCTGTGGGACTCTCCAGAGACTCCAGGCAGACAGGATGTGCTCGCGTGATAAAAGAAAGTGATGTGTACAAGTGTAAACACTGAATATTATTCAGTCATTGCTCACTCGCCGCTTTACGCCTTCTCTTATCTGGAGCTCTCTGGCTGCGGGCTGTTCTCATTCTTGTCAGGGCCTCTGTAAAGCCTAATTCAGCCGGAGCATTTGATGCATGGACAAATCTGATCTTGCTCTGGACCGCAAAGGTGGAGGTGTGTCGGGAATAACAAAATGAGTTTGGCTGCTTTGGTTCTTCTGCCCAACCTCTTTGCTCTTCAAGACGATTCCGACCAAATCATTTTGTCACATGTTGCCAAACACAATCCGATACTTGCTAATGGCTTGGAGCGTTGCTCTTTTTAAGGAACAGGAAACAGCTCAGGAAATCCACTTCCTGTAAAAGTTGTCAACCAATTAAAAAAAAAAGAAGAAGGAGAGGAGTTGGTGATCAGTCATTCTTATGTGGAAAGTTATGGGGAATTTAAAAGACGGTCATAGATACAGTAACTGCACTAAACACCATGTTGAGGTGGAGACACATAGACATAGCTCCCATGTAACAAATACTTGTAAATTTCAATGATTCAAATAATGTGATATTTCAAACATCATATTAAAGGTAGGGTCTGTAATTTTTTTCTGAAACACGTTGAAATCCTCTTCAGTAGCCAATATTAACTAAAGTTCAGTCAGACAACTCACGTTGAAATGTCCATAGCAACAGTAGAACAGGTTAGTGTTTGGCGTCTAAGCTCCGACTTAATCACTCCCTCCAATATGATTACATAGATATGATGGGAGTGATGAGAAAATACTTGCTGGTCGTCAGCTGTGATAGTGTGTTCTGACAGTATTGGCGCCGATGTCACTTTTCAACAGTGCTGTCACGCATTACTCACTTGTAACAACCTGCTTGTGACAGGTTTAATTTGAGGAAACGCTGCATCTGTCTAACAATGATCAACTCAAATGCACATTTAAAGGGGATCACTTCAAACACTCTGGTGCTGTGGCAACAAAACATCACTTCCTGAAAATGTCTTTCATCAGTGCCCTCTTTTGTTCCATCCTGTATCAGCTACAGGAAGGCTAATGGGCGTAAGTCACAGATACTGCACATTGGCTAACTGCTATATGTTGACACTGTCCTCTTCCCCCTCCCTGCCTGCAGACAGGACACATCCTCAGAAGTCCTGACTCAATACCGTGGCTTTATTTCTCAGTTGTTTTGTTTTCTCGGGCGACATTCAGCACATAATTTAGATGAATAGTTTCTGGACGAAGCCCTATTAAAGATAATTATCTCAAGGTTTAGGCTGCAGATGTGGCGCTCTCAGTAAACAACCTTGTTTATTAGAGGAGTGACTGTATTGATTGTTGGATTTCTTGGTCATGGTGCACCCCCAGCTGTAATTAAGCCCCCAGTGCTGCCCTGGTGTTCTCTTCTTCCTGAGCATACCTGCATAATGCATAATTGTTCCTGTGTTGGCAACAACCTTGCTACCTAACCTTGTTTATCTCAAGTTAACATCATACAATTTGCAGTTTTGCAGTTCTGGCAATAGCCAGTCGCAGGAGGCATTATGTTTTTGCGTTATCCGCTTATCTGCCTGTCCCATTCTTGTGAACACAACATCTCTAGAATGAGTTGAGAAAATGTTAGTTTGGACTCAAAGGTAAATGATAAAATTGTTGTGGTCAAAAGTCAAGGTCACCGTGACCTTGCAGAACACATTTCTGGTCACATCTTGGGAACACCTTGTGAACATTTCTTCAAATTTGGTAAAACATTCACATACACTAATGGATTAACTGATTAGATTAAGTTGGTCAAAGGTTAAAGGTCAAGGTTATTGTGACCATGGACTTGAACTGCACTGGTCAGCTGTGGCAAACAACTGCAGTGCTGTATTTCTGAACTCATGGACTATAGTAACAAGTGATCTCTGGGATTTGTTGTTCAGTAGCAATGAGCTCTTGGCACCGCACAGAGGAGTTTAATACGTGTTTGTCCCTATGGTCTGTTGTGCTTTCAAGCTGCTAAATCCAGTGTTCGCAGAACACCTGTCTCTGGGCCTGACCAACAGGGAGGTGAGAAACCGGAAGAGATTACTACAGCACTGCGCTGTTAAACTGATAACTCATAACATCAGGAAAGAGCAGATAGTAAAAGGACGACTTCTGTGAAAGTCTGTTTGTGATGATCCTGTAAAAAAAGGTGAAACTTTGTTTTAAGTGTAAGATGTGCAGCTTGTGTCATCTAACCTGTTTCCCAGTAAAACCTGGAAGTTGTAAGGACTTGCTGCCACTTTCCTGTCTGTATCCCCCTACATGCACCATGGTAAACTGATATCACAGGTCGCCACCAGTCGCTGCAGTAATCACTCCTCCTGTGCCTTATGTGTTGCCCGAATTTGTTGAAAATGAATGGTTGCATATGATGAACCTAAATGTCATATCTGTCTGTCGACATCCAAAAAGAACAGTGGTCTTGTGGGTAACGCATAACCAGTAGGTAACTTGTGTGAATGTGACCTCCTCCATCAGGTGTTGTGGGAAACGGCTTTCCCTTCAGTGTGTGACAGACACACCGGTACACCGTCCACTCCCATAACCCCCCTGATTTCTGTCATCACGGCTGCTGAAGCCTTTTATAAGCTTCACGAACACACTGGAATACATCTTTGCCTATAATGAGGACTGGATTTTGTCACTAACATTGAAAGCTCGTTACAATGGATGTAGTCATAGATCTGTTTTTGATTACATAACTTGAGTGGTGACATCGTACTGTAACAGTGGGAGTAAATATGATCTCTGCCTCTCTCTCCCTGCTCTGTGGTATTGTCCATTCCTAATTAACCACCAGTCTGCTGGCCTATTTCTGCTGGACATGCATCATCCTAACGAACCGAGATGCTCTCGTGCGGTTTGAAACACTGATTCATCTGTCTGTCACAGCTGAGCTCCTCCAGCGTCCTCCGCCACACGCTACTATTAGACAAACAGAGTGAGCCAGCAGACAAAGAAAAAGAAAAAACGAAAGATAACAACACGTCATGTAGTGCTGCATGTTTTTCCTGTGTGAGTCACTGACTGACAAACCTTTCTGTCCCTTCCTAACGCAGTTCCTGTGCCTGAAGAATATCAGGACTTTCCTGGCGGCGTGCTGCGAGACATTCGGTATGAAGAAGAGCGAGCTGTTTGAGGCCTTCGACCTTTTTGACGTCAGGGACTTTGGAAAGGTAAGGCAGGGTTTCTCAGCTGGGCATAGTTCTCGCCTGCGTCCACCTCCACTGAGTACCATCTCTCCCCTGAGACAGAACTGAGTTTGTCGAATGTGCTTTTAAACCTACTCTTGTTTCTGTGTCTACACTATGGAGCTTAGTCAAAGTTATTTATAATGGGTTTTGAATTACAATGAAGGACTTGGTGCATGAAATCCAGCCTTTGTTTGGTTGATCCTGTCATTGCAACAGCACTTTTCTTTGGCCCCTCGGTCACGTCTGCAGCACCATTAGTATGTTCTTCCCGGCATTGGAGGTGCTAATAAAAACAGTGGGAGGACACGTTGCAACTCAGCCCGCGCTCCGAAACTCTGAGCTGCGGCTGAAGTCAGCAACACGACCCGGCAGCTTAATCGCTTCCTCTCATTAGAGTGGAAATGCCTCAGCGTGCAGACTTTACGTGGGGTTAGGAGCCTGGCCTCAGGTTCATTACTTTGATAGTACTCTCAGTCTCTGCTTGTTTGCTGTGAAACTGTCTGCGGCTCTTTGACAGCCCTGCCGGCCTCGCCGAGTCCCCACGAGGTTTAATTAGAAACTGTAGCTTTGAGCAGGGGAGGGCTTTCCTAGATGGCAGGGTCGTGTGTGTGTGTGTGTGTGTTGATTGATTAGATCATCATCTATATGGAAAGTTTACATCATACCCACAATTACAGCAATGTCAGTAATGTTATTAGAATCTCATGAGATCAAGTGGCACATATACACAGTGTAATGTTAAACAGCCTCATAAAGAGTTGGCGTTAACGGGTGTATCTGATAGTTGTACCTGACTCAAAGTGGGGTTACTCGGTCAGGGGCTTTCTCAGCAGGGCACTCGGACAGCCGGATGCTCAGGCCTGTCCCTCGTTAAAAACATAATTGATGAGTTAAAATGAATTGATAAAAAGCCCCACCATCAAAGCAATAAATATTAAAAAGTAAATTAAATAATTACACAAGGGAAGGTTTAGAAGATCACAGACACAGGCAGGGCAATGGGAGTTTTAGCTCTTAAAAAAATGTTCTGACCTCCAAGGCCTTTTTCCTGGCAGACAATAATAAATGAAATAGAAAAATGATTTTTAGGATAGAATGTTATTCAAACCAATTAATACCATCTGTCATTACGACGTATACATATCTGTACACAATATAAGGATAAAGATGACATTTAGTTGGAATGGAAAAGGTTCGGGTAAGGGTCACTGGGAATGCAAATGAGGTCCTCACTAAGATAGAAGTTAAAGATGTAGGTTTACTAATGACTATAAAACTATCCACTTAATGAAGGCTTTGACATACAAAACATGTTTTAATACTGACCCTCAGATGAACACATGACAGTGCATCGCAGATTATGAAAAATAAATGGTCCTAAGTATAAAGATGGAAAATGAAAAGGGCTTTAGATATGGTCAGCAGCTTATTTCTCTCCCCACTTGAATGTTCAGTTTTGTCAGGATGCTGAGCTGATAGAAGAAGCAGAGAGAATTAAGTCATCTCTTCATTAAGTCATCTTTAATTAAAAACACTTTTGGACCCGCTGGCAAATTACTTTCTTTGGCTGAGAGGGAAAATATTTTCACAGGAAATCCGAGGATGATGATCATTCAAATCTTTGTCCTCACTGTTGCAATATAGAGCAGAGTAAAGGTGGGTGTTTCCCCACATGCTAAGTATATGCCTCAGGTACTGCATACAGGGTTAGCAGCATATGCAGCAACCTCTGAATATTTCACTTTAAAAAGTAATGCTGACAAGTCAAAGATGCACTTAAAATTAATATTTAATTTTTAAAAATTGTATTTATGTTGATTAAGACAGAAGTCTGTTTTAAACATGTGTTGAGTGTGTCTGCTGGGTGCAAAAAGACTTAAGGTTAGGAAACAAAAGATGGAGCCCTGTCTGTTTAAAGGTGTAACAATGATACATTATATAACTTGCTATTCTTTTTTTACGCACTAGTATCAGATCGGTACTTAGCATTGCCCAATACACAAATCAAGCATCAGGAAGGGAAAATGCTATAGGAATGTCTCTAATGCTAAGTTAAGCTAGAGGATGCTGGTTGCCACTTCATATTTAGCAGATATAAACAACAGTCTCAGATGAGATGATCTCATTTCAATCTTGACTCTTTTAATTTTCTCTGATTGTATCCTCATTTCCCCTCTCTGTGATTTCACTTTGACGACTCTCTCGATTGAATCCAACAAAGCCCTGAGTGAACATAACATTTCTGCAATGAGACAGCGAGGCGGGTCCCGTAATCACCGCTCGGCTGGCACTGCAGAGGCTAATGGAGTGAGGAGAGGAGGGGATGGGTGAAGCTGCCACTCACCTACGCTCTCAGTGTTTTAGGGTATTTTTAGCTGCTGGTCTACTGCTGAATAAAACATGAGACATGCCTGTTTATTTTAGAGTTTGTGTGGTAGCCTTGATCAAGTCTGTGTGTGCAAACACAGAGTGGATGTGTCGCTCTGGGCTCCCTTAAGGTATTTTCCCACCTGCTGCTGTACCAGACATGTTTTCAGCTGAACTCATGAGACAGTACAGCCTGGAAGCTCCTCAAACAAACACAGTCAAAAGGTGATGTGAGAGCTTGTGTTACACTTTGTGATAACATTAATGCATCTGTTTGAGTTCCTGGATTTAAAAAGTGGGGCTGCTATATAGGAAAGCACATAGAGGTCTGTCAGCAGCCCTCTCCCCTCCGTGCGGGAACATCTGCTCTGCACATCTGTCTGTACACATGGAGGGTTGTAGGCTCTGCAGGGAGAAGAGAAACTTGGCTGCGCGGGTCATGCACACACACTGACACACACCTGACAGAGAGAGGAAGGTTGAGAGAGCACCAGAGTTAATGGTGTGAGGTATTACGATATTGAGAGCTGTGATATCCTCTTACTGTTTCAGGTGTAATTTTAATATGCAGAATAACTTTTTTGCTGTTTGGAGGAGGAGAGAAGATCCAGAATTCACCACTTCATCAATACATTACACAAAGGTCACTCTGCCGAGCAAGAGATTCTGAGTGACAGGTACACAGACCAGAGACTGAAAGATCCGTTCTCGTGTGAGAGAAAGAACTGGACGACTGCAGCTGAAACTATGTCTGCCTGTGTTCTTGGACAGTTTTTAGGGGTTTAAGATAGAAAATGTCTCTTGAATGTCCATCGTAAGTCATTATACTTGAGTGAATTTGAAAATATATTATTGAAATAAAACAGTGAAATAGAATTGTTTTATATGTCTGTTGTTCGAAACATCCAATAGTTTAACGTACTATCTTAGTTACCAGACTATAAAGCCCATAAAATGTCTCTGCCAACCACCATTGAACAACAACAAAGGAAGAATATGATCACTTCCAGGTGCAGGCGGTAAAACGTGTGTGTGGTGTTGTAAGATTAGATGCTACTGTACCAACAGGAGAATATGTGAAGATGACTACAGTCGTCAAAACGTTCTGTGCGGAACTCAACTTCAATACACAAAGATAAGTGAAGCTTTGCCAGGTAGAGTAGCATAATTGTGTTCACACTGTGGCCTGCGGGTGTGTGTGTGTGTGTGTGTGTAGGGGGTCTTTGCATAATGGTTAAAGAATTCACAGTTTTTGTGGAATAGTATTTTTGCTTAAAACATCTTTTGGAAATAGACTGTAGCTGTGCATTAGAAAACTGTTTTGTGAATCTAAATAGCACAATGTCATTGTCATACTAACATTGCTGGGAAAAAAATAGCATCAAATAAACTACTCACCATTAGACTAATTTATATATTCTGTGAGTAAACTGTTGCAGAACTATGAATATGGCTGACATCTGTACACCTTTCTTGGAACCAAGGCTTTAGTGTCATTAGACCTTTAGAAAATATTAGTTCATGTTTCAGAGACTGCACTTTCTTTTTCTACAGCAGTTTCCTGAGCAGATCACATCGAAACATCAGTTTTATTCAGAAAAGTTCTACATGATCTTGTGTATAAAGGCATTGCGTTATCCTCGGCTTAAAATTTGCTGCCGTCATCATGAATGACTTAACCGCCTCGCTTCTATTTTACCGCTTTGTCTCCCATCAGTTGGTTTGAAAATAGAATCAAAGTGCTGACAGGAACCTTCCACGCTCCAGTCACATGAGGAGCAGTTGCCTAATTCTTGGAAAACATTACTGTCACCGACTGACCTATTAAATAATTCAGCTGCTCACTCGTTCAGCTGTTTGTAGGGAGTCCTCACTGAGCTCACATCTGCCTGTTAAAGTGTCGCCAGCTCACTCACCGTGAAACTGAACTCTGAAACCTGCACCATGAATTTACAATGAAGGAAATTAAACTTTATTTAGGTAAAGAGGAACTGCGACCCTCATATGCATTTTTGTTTTCATGCCACTAAAGCAAAAACTTTATTTTAACTTTCCAATCATAAATACAGATTTCAATGAGATGGAGTGTTTTCATAATGTTATAAGTGGAATTGCATCTTATTGAAGATTTTGACATTTTGGGAAATAGTGTTAAAAGAACTAGACATCTGTGCAACTGCGCAAACATATAGATTTATGTGTAGCAATAGACGTTGCCACCAGGTCTCCCAAACACAGCCAGAGACAACAATTCACTTTTCAGCATCTTTATTTCTTTAGCGGCAAATATAAAGTCAACAAACTCAACTGAAAGTGTCCAACAGTCCAACAGCAGCTCAGCTCGTCTCAGTCTCTCATGTGTCGCCGTGTCCCTCCTTGAGTCCCTCATGCGTCTCTGTGCCATGCGTCTCCTCTGGCACTTCTGCTGCTGCCTTTTGAACACGAGGATCGATTGGCTAACAGCCCTCAGCTGGGCTGATTGATCCGCTGTACAGGTGGAGGTGTTCTCTGGGTCACCTTCATGCCCACAATAAGATTTTTTTACAATTAGGTTAAAAATGTTACTTAAACCCTTAATTGTTATAAGTGTTTTACTGATTGTTGAACAAGTGAGT